AGGGAAATTCCCTGTCCCCTTGCTTTATGTCTGTGGATGGAAGGAGCTACAAGACAGCAATAATCATGAAATCTTGACTCATCCCTATCCCTGAGAAATAACATGTCGATTTCCCCCTACTTTGAGGCCTACACTTGACATCTTCAGGAAACAAATATTCTCTGCTTCTCTTATTTTAAATTTTACAGGGTCAGGCCCCCATGGGGAATGCCCATGGTAGTCCAGCCAAGCCTGTGACTGTCTGGGCAAGTCTAATTAATCCAGGTGATATGTTTGCCAGTCCACTTTCTGAGAAACCTAAGCTGACACTCCCTAGTATTTTATTAATAATTGCTAAATTTCTGACTACTGTGTCCATCTTTCAGTTGTTCTGAGCACAAAATGGATAAGAAAGTGAAGGGTTCTTAGCCTCCTGAAACATTAAAATTTACCAAGAAATTTTAGTTTCTATTATAAACAAATTCATTTCTTTTAGTATCAAATGTCATCACAAGATGATTTTCTCCCTTTCTTTCTACTCTTTGGGATCACCAGGCAATACTCTATCGATATCTGATACCTATGCTTCTTTTCCCCTAGGCACTCTTGTCTAGAGAAAAATAGGTAGTTGATAATGATAACTGTTGCACTTATTGTGCAAATTACAGTGCTAAATACTTTGCACACATTTTCTTATTTAAACCTCACCAATGTTCCTATGAGAAAGTACAACTACACTTATTTTCCTGAGGCTCTTAAAACCTAAACAACTTGCTTAAAGTCACACAGTGGGAGGGTTGACATTTGAGCCCAAGCTAAACGGTTTCACAGCACAAGCCATTAATATGTTATACCATCTTCCTATTAAGAGGGTTTCTGCATATTCTCTCCAAATATCCAATTTTTAGTTATCCAACCACCTTGAAATCCACACACATTTGAGTTCCTTTTCAAATAACTCCCAAAATATGTTTTTAGTAGCTCCACAAATATTTTTTGGCCATGTGATATATACTAGGCACTAAAAATAAAAAGGTGAATAAATTTGATTCCTGGTCTGAAGGATCAGGGAGTGAGTATATTGGTAGTATGGGAGTGTTCGGAGAGGCTAAATAAGTGTGAATTCCATAATCCCTTATCCACTATTATAAAACCCTAAAACCTCTGAAAAGGGGAAATTATTTTTTCAATTGTAGCACTCAGGCACCAAGAGCTTACCAGAATTGGCATTAATTAATTAATTAAGACCATACACTATTATGATCTTCAATGATCACACTTAGTGTGTCTAAATTCATTTATTTCATTATAGATATAGCAATGTGTTTGGTTACTGGATGTCATTCCAGATAATGTGTACCTTATTATCTTTCTAATATTCAAAAGAAAATAGTAATAATTTTTGAAACACATCATTGCCCAAGAGTTTGGGATAAAGGATTATAGGCCAATCAATGATTACAACACTAGCAGCATAGTGGTGAGTGTGCTTTAGAAGCCCTACGGCATAAAGGAGGCAGAGGGGGCTTCAGGGAAGAGGTACTGTCTTAGTCAATTTTGTGCTGCTGTAACAGAATACCTGAGACTGGGTAATTTATAAAGAATAGAAATGCCTTGCCTCACAATTCTGGAGGCTGGAGGTCCAAGATCAAGGGCCCTCATCTTGTGAGGGCCTTCTTGTTGCATCATAATATGGTGGAAGGCATCACATGGCAAAAGAGAGAGAGAGAAAGAGGCAATACTCATCCTTTCATCAGGAACCCACTGCCTCGGTAAATCAGTCACTGCTGTGATAATGGCATTAATTCATTCATGATGGCAGAGCCCTCGTGACCTAATCATCTCTTTAAAATCCCACTTCTCAACACTGTTGCCTTGGGGATTAAATATCCAACACATGAACTTTGGGGGACTCATTCAAACCATAAGCAGGTACTATTGGGTCTGATTGTTGAAGGATGAATACAAATTTGTCAGGCAGCCAAATAGGAGGAGAAAATGCACTGGAGCTACATGAAGCAGTCTGAACAAAATCATGAGAGGGTAATGTGTGGTCAGGGTAAGGAGTACTGGTGGGAGAGTGGCTGAAAAATGAAGCTGGATCAATAGCCAGGTGACAAATCACAAAGATGCTGTGGAATGTCATGCAAAATTTGTGTTTGCAACAGATAGCTAAGGGGAGAGAGGTACGGTGACCACACATGCTCAGTTGCCAGGACACAACTTGTTTTTTTTCCTGTTACTCTGGATTTATTGATAACATAACTTTTTCCTTTCAAAAATGTCCTCATTTGGATGAAACATATGGTCCTCCAAATGATAGAACCAGATGTCAATAGAAAGACGGTTTTTAGCAGTGGGGGAAATGGAAGTAGGTTCAGAGAGTTCCACAGGGCTTTATCCTAAGATAAGAAGTATGAATGGCAAAGCCCATCTCTTAGGAATAGTGACATAAAGGGATTTCATCAAACCCTTGTGGGTAGAGTATAAAACGTTCTCTCATGCCTCACCCCCATGAATAAAAAGGGAGACATTTTCAGTTAGAAACTGAAAACTACTTGCATCCTCCGCACATCCCACACTGTCCTGCAGTTTCCTTACATCTTGGCTTTTGGCTCCAACTGCATAGGAGACACCTTGTTGAAAAAGTCAACTAAGTTAAATTACATGGAAAAATATAATGGAAATAGAGCTGAAAATACATGAAGATTATGAAGCCAAAATTATATTTATTCATTTGTTTTTAAACCATAGCTAATAATCAGAAAGCACATCAATTTATACCTTTTTCTTTTTCTTAAGTTATGGTGATAATGAATAATAAAAAAGTAAAAATAAACTACAAAAAATAAAATATGGTCACACACTCTTCACCAATGGCATATAAACAGAAAACATTCAATAGCTGCTTAGTAAGCAACTGGAAAATGAAGGAAAACATGCCTATGTATCACAGCATGTCAAAATTAGTTTTTATTCTAATAATTAAGTAGCAATAAAAACTTGGATTTATTTCAATTTCTGAATGGACTTCCAGTAGCTACAAATTGGGAGGTTTAAATGGACCCATTTTATCTTACCAATCAGGAAAATGTAAATTAAAACAAGGTATCCTTTCCCCATCAGATCAGTGAAAATTGAAGTGCAACTATTTCTCTGAGATTGTAGGAACTGGTAAACTCATATGATGTTTCTGTTGCAGAATTTGGATTCATTTTGGAAATATCTGGTAAAACCAAATCTATGCACCATCTATTTCCCAGCAATTCTATTTCTAGATATTTACCTTGGAGGAACATTCAAAAATAAATGCACAAGGAGAAAGGTACAAGAATGCTCATTGTAGCTATGTGGGCATAATTATTAACCAAAGTCCATACTTTATTCGTATTTCCATAGTTTTTACCTGATGTCCTTTTTCGATTCTGGAAACCCATGCCACATTGCATTTAGTTATAATGTCTCCTCAAATGCTCTTGGCTGTGACGGTTTCTCAGACTTTCCTTTTTTTGATGACCTTGACAGTTTTGAGGAGTACTGGTCAGGTATTTTGCAGAATGCTCCTCTCTTGGTATTTGTCTGATATTTTTCTCATGATTAGACATGAATTATGGGATTGCGGGAGGAAGACCACAAAGGTAATGTGCCAATTTCATCACATCATATCAAGGATACATGTTGTCAACGTGGTTCATCAGCATTGATATTAACCTTGATCACCTGGGTAAGGTTAGCATTTGTCAGGTTTCTCCATGGTAAAGTTACTACTTTCCATATGTACTCTTTGGAAGGAAGTCACTATGCACCCTGTGCTGCTCACACTTAAGAAGTAGGGAATTATGCTCCACCTCCTTGAGGGTACAGTATCTACATAAATTGTTTGGAATTCTTTTGCATGGGAGATTTGTCATTTCTCCCCCATTTATTTGTTTACTCAATCCTATTAACTTTTAAGCCATATTCCTTTGAATCATGCATATATATATATATATATATAATCCACATATATTAATATTGTAATTGTTTTCAAATAAAAATATTTTAAAAATACCTAGATAATTTGTCTTAGTCCATTCAGGTTGCTATAACAAAATATCATAACCTGAATAGTTTATAAACAACAAATTTATTTCTCACAGTCTGGAGACCGAAAAGCCCAAGATCATGGCATTGGCAGATTCGTTGTCTGGTGAGGTCTCACTTCCTGGTTCATATATGGCGCCTTCTTGCTGTGTCCTTACATGGTAGAAGGGCAAAAGAGCTCCCTTGGTCCTGTTTTATAAGGGCACTAATCCCATTCATGAAGACTCCACCTCATGATCTAATCACCTCCCCAGAGGCCCTACCTCCTAATACCATTGTTTTGGGGATTAGGATTTCAACATATGAATTTTGAGGTGACATAAATATTGTCTGAATTTTTAGCATAATTCATTAACTAATTTAGGACTTAAGAAATTAGGAGCATACGAATTTATCAGAAAGCACCTATAAAGTTTGAAAATGTAACTAATAGTATTGTTCTTAGTATTGTTAATAGTGATAATAATGTATTATTCTCATTTAAACTATAGAAAGCAGTTTACACAAATATTTAACATTATTCTCTGCTTAGAGAATTCAAAGTTTGCCTCTTTAGATCAAAGACGAAGCAAACAGAAGGACATTTTATTGTGTGCAGTTTCAGAATTTTAGTTTCATAGTTTCATTGCAAATTGCAGATTATCAGCCTTCATTTGCAAAATCTTGAACCCCTTGTAGTGTACTAGTGATAGGCATGTGTCCTGCTTTTCCCATATATGATTGGAAATTTTTCCTGGGATAGATCTTTTTAAGTATCTCCTTGGGGAATTTCCAGACATGATTATTAATCTTTCGTGCCTACAAAGATAACTTAAAGGTGAATCTTTGAAACTAAGTCAGGAAACTATTAATAACAATTATCGTGTAAAATTATCTCACCATTTTGCCCTTTTATGTACAATATTAATGAATATGTTTTTACACTGTAATTTTTCCAGATATTTCAGTCAGCCTGTTAGCAGTCATTGTCAGCTTTTGTGGCCTGGCCTTGCTGGTTGTCTCGCTTTTTGTCTTCTGGAAGTTGTGCTGGCCATGCTGGAAAAGCAAACCTGTGACTTCCAACATTAGTACCCTGCCACAGAGCATTTCGAGTGCTCCTACTGAAGTTTTTGAGACTGAAGAGAAAAAAGAAGTTAAGGAAAATGAAAAACCAGCCATAAAAGCTATTGAGCCTGCAATAAAAATCAGCCACACTTCCCCTGATATCCCAGCAGAAGTCCAAACTGCTTTAAAAGAACATTTAATTAAACATGCACGTGTGCAAAGACAAATTACTGAGCCTACATCTTCATCACGGTAAGAAAAGATCCAACATGTAAAGCTATTTGTGTATGTGTGCATGCGCGTGTGTGTGTGTGTGTGTGTGTGTGTGTATGTGTGAATTCGGAAGAGAGAAAAACTTAGGTGGGAGGGAGAAAAGAAAAGAGAGACAGGAGAAATGAAAAAGACATAAGAATAGAAAATTCAATAAAAAGGGAAAGGGTAGGACAGAGTAAACAGGGGTGGAGAGAGGGAAACTGAGGACAAAGAAGCTGACCAGGAAGCTGTACCATGAAAGGGGCTTAGTAGAATTTGTGGTCTCAGTAAAATCATATAACTACAGATTGTTGTTTAAATATCATTGGTTGATAGCTGCTTCTTGTAGTCTTTCAATTTAGTTTAATTCGATTAATAAATATTGAGAAAAAAGCCTTTTGAAATGTATATCATGGAGGCACAAAACAATGAGGAATCATCTGAAATTTCACAGTCACAACTCACAGAGACGTTTAGTCTACAATTATTTAACACCTATGCCATAAACATGAAACTGCTGGAAAATTTCATTGTTTATGTGAGCTCACACAGACCAAACTCTTATATTGGACAAGGTGTGACAAGTTCCACAAGAAGCCTAATAAGTTCCACAAGAAGCCTAATATCATGAGCATACCAAGGATTGTACACCCAAGGGAGGAAGAAGATCTCCTTAAGGAAATACATTTTAACTCAGCCTGGGAAAATCAGCAAAAGTTTGTTTGAATGAAAATAATTTGCCACAGTGAATTCATATAGTATTAACTGAAATCTTGTGAAGAGGCATTTTTTTCCTGCTAAGTATAGGCATCAATTCTTAAAACAAATGACATAATAGTACCAGTTTTTCTCTGGTTCCTAGAAGTAGCAACTAGTTCTACACTAGTGCAGCGTAAAATCAACAGTCTCTTATTGGGAGGTAACTGCTGTTTCCTTCTAATTAATTTACCTCCTAATCTTACCTTCCTACCTCTCTAAACCTAAGGTGCATCCATGCTTTGCCACGCTTTCTGGCATAATATACTTTTGTGAGTTTAGAAATCTACCAAATTGAAAAACTAGGTCCTGTTGGCTACTAATCTTTTGTGTAAATGAAAAAGAATTGTATCTATAAATAAATCCACTTCTTTCTGAAGTATATTCTAGAGAGATAAGTAAGAATAATTGTTACCTTTGAGATAAAGAACCTTGGGATGAGGAGGATGGATGATGTGCCTTTTCCATGTTGCACTTTTCTGTGCTACTTAAATTTTATAACCAAGGAGTGCTTAATATTTAGTTTTTATTTTGACAAATTTTCCTGAGCAGCGGCATTTAATGTCATTTTAAAATTTTTCTTATTCATTAGTTTTATGTAATGTAACCCAAAATGAAGTTCATTACAATTTTTTATTTGTTGTGGATATTTAACGATTAAACTTAACTATCCACTGTACTACTTTTTTTTATATGTTTTAGAAATGGTAAAAGAAAATGCCTTTGGAGGCAACTTGCTTTTTTCCAAAACATTGGTTCCAGTATATCTATAGAGATAACTGCTTTAAGGGGAATTATCTCATGTGGCTACTTAAGTATCACTACTACCATCCCTGAAAACTCTGGCCAAATATGATTTTTAATATCCACAAAGCCTTAGAATACTCAGAAATTTCAGGGTAAAAAAATTTCAATTAATTGCAAAATGTTTTTAAAATACTGACAATAGCTATGACTATATATCAGCTTAGCATTCAGAATTTTTCAATTCTTTTAGCTTATAAGTACAAACTACTTATCAGGACATTCAATTAATGAAGACAAATAGAGGTAATCTACGTTTTTGGAAACCTCAGAAAAACAAAATACTATCTCCAAAACATTCTCTGCCGAATATAAAAAAAACCACTTATCTGACTATCCCTAGCTAGGGGAAGGTGAAAGAATAAATACTGAAAACACATGTGTGAAGACTTGGCTTTACTAGCCATGGATTTCTCAGTAATTACATGAAATTGAATAAATCAGAAAAAACTTTTTTTCTCAATTTTAAAAAACACAAAAATTAGATTGTATATATTTGATAATTTTCTAAGAGAAAAACTACAATTTAAATTCATCATTCTGCTAGAACTTTAATATCATTTCACCTGCCTCTTTGAATTTCCTTGTCTATATGGGTGGTTGGGGAATGAAGAAGAAACGATTTTTGAGCTCTTGCAATTTGGTCCCTATGTTGAGGCACCTTCCTGCTAACCCTTCACCAACACGCATGAAGTGTTATTACTTATCCCCATTACTTGTGAGTTACCTGAAGCCCAGAGAGATTTAAAAGTTTTTCTGAAGTCATGCAGCTGGCAAGAGTAAGAATGAAAATTTACCCGGATTGGTGGAACACATTTTAAGCATTAAAGCCAAGGGGATATAGTTTTTCTGCATTTAAAGGTGTTGATTACAAAGTCTGCTGAGGACAGGTGGTTTGGAGGTTGCAGAATAAGAGCATCTTCCTGCTCCTTCTGCTCAATTAGAATCTGGAATTGTTTGTGGTTATCAAGGATGACTAGAGTCATGATTTTAATCTCTTTGGCCTAGGGATGAATTTCTCACAGAAAACTTGATTATTTCTAGTTCTCAAAAACCCTTATCTACATGAATTGCTTCATCATGCTAGAAATTACCTTTATAGACAGAGGAAGAAGAAAGTGCTGAATTCATTGTGCAGTCCACTTTGACACAGAGATTAAGGGTACGTTATTATAAATCAATTATTCTGCTCAATGCCAACTTTGCACTGAGATGTAGCAAACTCAAACCTATGTGTACACACATCACACATACACATGCACAAAATGAGTTTAACTTTAATACTTGGTTTCCTCACCTTATTAGGATGTTGCAGCTCCAGTCTGTTGTTGGGACTCCTTTTTACTTGGCTCCAACAGTTGATGGTAAACAAAATCAAACCCTTTCAAGTTTTATTTGTCTGGAAATTGAAAAATATCTTGATGAGTCTAAAAGTTAGCAGCATTGCTGGAAACTGCCACATTCCCCAAGTTCTCAACTCCTTTTTCAAATACCTGGACATTTAGCCCTGTTAGCCCGCAGGGCAAACAAATGACCAGCTGGCATTTGTGTATTTATTTCTTCCTTACTAATATTCTTCTAGCATCTGTCATGATTGATTGTTTATTCATCCAATGATCTTATTCAATATGTATTTAATCCTGGGCAGTCTCTGTAATCTGCTCACTCTCTCTACGCTGAAAACTCTAAGGACCTGTAAAGAAATTTACAATAAAATATGGAGATAAGACAAGTGATGCCGACTTCAATATAAGGAATTATAAGTGCCAACTGTGTGGTGGAGAATGTGGAATTCAGAGCATAGAGAAATTATTTCTGGCTAAGGTGGGGAGCAGGGCCATTAAGCTGAGGCTAAAGGAAACCACAGATTCACATACATGGCAATCAGAAGAGGATGTGCATCCCAGATAGAAGCATTTTATGTGAAAAGTCATAAAACACTAAGCAGATAGCAGGTAAGCTACCTTGATCAGAAAATAGAGATGAGCGAAGGAATAATGGAAGATAAAATCAGATGGAATTAAAGTACAGGAGACCTTGAAATCATGACCAAGATGTTCAATGTCTCTCATGTCAAAAAACCTTTGCAGCAGAGAGTCATGGATAAGACTTATGTTTCAGGACAATTAATTTGACAACAGTTTATAGGGCAGGCTGTAGGGGAAAACATCTGTTTCGAACCTAATATAGTAGCTCTCAGGCATAATAAAAATCAGGAAATAGCAAACAACAACAAAAAAGACAGAAACCTAAGAAAAATTGTAAAGGAAAAATTGAAGATTTCTTGTAAAAAATAAAAAAAAAAATAAGTGGCACTTCAGTCATTCCATGTCTAGGCCAAACCTTTTAAAAGTCTGCCATTCAAGGTTGGTATAAAATCTGATTATACCAAGCTACCATTATAGCATTTTGGTTCTATACACCCCCACTCAGCACCCCTCCCCCCACATAGCTCTGTGCTGCTTTCTTAGGCAGAAAATCTGCCGTATTCACCTCTGTATTACTTTTTGATGCCCAGACAAAGCTCTTTATTTAGGAACAGGGTATACTTGTTGAATAAAAAAAAAAAATCAATAAATGAATTCAAGGACCTCTTGTCTATCTAAATAGAACTTCCATGGCTGCCTATTAGAAGGATGCTTGGTCTTTTTATCATCCTTCTGAAGACCTTGGCTCTCTTTGCCTCTGTGCTTTTGTTCATGCTGCTTCCCTTGTCTAGAATGATGACCTCTTTTTTACCTACTATAAGATTTTTAAGGAAAATGCATCTGAGAGTCTACTTTCTCTGCCCAATTATAAGCTATTATTCTTTATTATTTAAAGCTGTGGTTACAGTCTAACAATTAATATTTAGTGTCAATATAGAGCTCTAGTTGTTTACCAAACTATTAATAGATGCTAACTTCTCAGAGAACAAGGACTGTATGCCTTACTAACTTCTAGCACTGTGTAGGTGCATAGCATCAAGTGAATGCTTTTGATTGATCAACTCTCCACTTAATTTTGCTCTTTTAAAGACATCATCAGGTGGTAAGGTAACACTGTTCATATTAGAAGGAGGTAATGATGGAATAGGAGTACATAGGAGAACCAATTTTCTGTGCATTCATTAATGGTATAAAGATGAGGTGAATAGTCAGTGGCAAAATAATTTGTTGAGGATGAGAAATTATACAGGTTTGCCACTGTTAGAGCGAATTCTAAATTCTACTGAAAATAATTGGGAAACATAATGGCAGATCCAATTGAACATGAAACAAGAGCAGGAAAATGTACACGGGAAGCAATTGCTGATTCATATGTGCTAAAGAATTTATAATATTTATAATTAGCTGTGATTATCAAAGTAATTCTTAAAATTATCATACACACTATCCAAAAGAATACTAATGTACATTGTTATAAGTAAAATGAAGAATTTTGTAAAAATACATAAAATG